TGTGTGATTGTGATTGTGCCCCTCCTTCGAGAACCTGACACAGCAGCAGCAGCAGCAGATATGAAAAAAAATCGTACTGCGAACCAAAGGAATAGGCTCCAAGGAAATTTCAACTGTCAAAATGCCCTTCTCGGTCGCCCTGACTGACGCAGTGTGGTAATTATCGTTGGGTATAGAGTGCTGGTCACGTGGTGCTAACACAGTCAGCATCTAAGTGAGTTCGTTTAGGGGGCCGGAAGACGATGGCATCGGGATAGCTGCGGTACTCCTTATCCACAGCAGACGAGACTGTCTCCAGACAACGCAAACCGTAGGGCAGCCGAGTAACGAATTCCAGCGGCACACCCAGCCAGTAGAAGAGGACAGTCAGATAAAGCGCCACGCCTTCAACCACGTCCTCTGTGGGTCGACCATCTTGAAAAGGAAAACGGAAGGAAAGTTAGGTCCCGTAAGTCATAATGAAATACACACAGTGAACAATTTTCCAAGTCCCACCGATAAGCAGGAACTAACGATTTGTTGACTGAGCAGACATGCAACTAAAAAGGAGCACACCAATTAGAAAAATCGACTCATTTTCATCTAAATGCGAAAAGCGGCCACTGCCAGAGCACGGCATCTGCTGTGCTTCGGTTCAAACAAAGCAGAACTCGGGCGGTGTCCACCGTCGATCGACCAATCGCATGCTGGGAAGAGGCGGGACTCGAACTGGTGCCACTCCACCAACCGTACCACCACTAGGGGGCGGATTGGAGCCCTCTTAGCTGTAATTGTTAAAAAATACGGTCAAACTGGATCCCGGTTTGCCTACCGGTCCCGACCGCAAGACGAGAGTGGGCAACGAAATCAAAGACACACACGCGGACAAAACATGCCTGCTCATGTTAGTAAGGGAAGCATGTCCTTTGGCGCAGCTAGGTGCCTGAGTAAGTCGTGCATGGCACACACACATACGCACAGACGGGCTGTTGCAGTTATTGAAACATTGTTTTTCCGGAAGAAATTTGAACAAAGCGAAAGTCACGAGTTGAGCAGTATTTAATGACGTCGTGAAATTTCGTGACCTCTCAATCAGCTGTTAACGGTCGTTGCCTATTAATAAGA